ACTCCAACAACTCAGTGCGTTAGCCTTTTCTCTTTTGCCCCATCTTCGGAGTTGAACACAAATGCGCCCCACACAGCACGTCGCTCGTCCACCAACTTTGCCTACGTTCCTGGCGGTCGTAAGTCTCTCTCCCCTCCCACTGCCCACCTACCTACTAATTTTTTTGACTAGCGATCTATAAAGGCACGGTGAACGATCCGACGACGTTCCCGCCGCCGTCCAAGTCGCACGGCTCGTATCACTGGTCTTTCGAGCGCCTTCTCGCCGCGGGCCTCGTCCCACTCACCACAGCCGCCTTTGTTACCTCCGGCTCGTCCGCGCCTCTCATCGACGGACTCCTCGGCGTCAGCCTCATCGTACACAGCCACATTGGCGTGCGTTTTCCTTCTTTCATTACCCCCCAACGCATTGTTGACGTTTGGGAAAGTTTGATGCGGTCTTGGTGGATTACCTCCACAAGCGCAAGTTCCCTACACTTGGTCCTCTGTTTACTTGGACGCTTCGCGTGACGACGCTTGCCGTCGGCGTGGGGGTGTACCAGTTCAATACGAACGATATCGGTGCGTGTCTGCATTTATGACAAACACGTGCGCACGAGAGAGCGTGCCCGTACCTTCTCGCGCGCGCGCCGCTTTCTTCACGACTGATGATTGTCTTCTAGGTTTGACGGAACTCATCCGCCGCGTATGGACTGCATAAGCGGGCTTCTCTCTATTTCTCATAAACGCTCGCGTGTACTAGAACCAACAACCAGCACCAAAGTAAACTTTTTTTTTTAGCTTGCCTTCGTGCGATTGAATCAGAAAAAGAAGACATCATATTCACATACAAAGACTATTCACATGGATCCTAAAAGATTACTAGTTTGGGTGCGTATGGTACGAAGCCGAATAATCAAACATGATATAGGGATACAATTGGAAGACACCTTCGCCGGTCACTGGACTCTTGCTCGTTATTTTGAACTCGTTAAAAACTTGTCGTCATCCGTTCCTCCCGATCCCACGATGTGACTTTGACCTTCTGAGGAGGTAACGGGTATCTGCCACAACGTGGCCAATTGACACTATGCGATGCCGGCTCCTACCGGCAATATCACTGCTATGACGGCACGAATCAAGGACAGGCGTTAGTTATGAGGACATTCCTCAAACAGTTCCAACTCACAAAGACGCGTGAGCACCCGGTCGAGCAGATGCGCCGCCGAGAAGACGGACGCGGTCTTAGCGATGACGTCGACGAACGCGGTGTAGAGGAGCATGGTGGATAGGTGGATGTGACGGTAGTATGCCGTGTTGTGGTAACGATGAGGACGTTCGGCGCGGGAAAGGAGAACAACGAGTAACGGAACCACTTTTGCGGCCTACGTCTGGGGCTGCTGGAGATTTGGGGGGTTCACAGTCGGAAATGGGGTTCTTTGTGAAGGTGGGAGGTAGTGGGAGGGGGGGGCGCCTTGAGAGAGAAGCTGGAGGATAGGGGTTCAAAGTGGGTTTGATATATACTCTTCTCTTAACTGGCTGACACGGAATGGCCCTTGGCCCTGCAGGGAAACTTCTTGCTTTGTTGCGACTGCATCGGAGTTGTGCGGAAAGGGATAAGACAAGGTTTCGCGGTACCGCCCGTACATGCATTCATGTGAGCACCGTTACAGGATATACTTGGCACGCCTGCAGTTCATATGACGTTCTCATTTTTCGTTTTGGAACGTTTTGGAATCATAGAGAACACTGTAGCCTCCGTTTTTCTCCGTCGTTCCTCAGTTCGGGTGTTTCTATATGAATTTGCAGGTGCAGGGTGCTTCGCACGCCTCCCGTTCATCGCCTGTGCGTCGCCTGCACAAGGGAGGAGGAGCTTCGTTCGGCTCCGCTGTCCAAGAACAGATTAGAACAGAATAGATCCGTGCTCATGACTAACCTTGGTCGGCATGAAGTGGAACTATCTCGAGTCATCGGATCCACATCTCGCAAGGGGCTAGGCCCCGGAAGGAAGGCCCGGGCTCCGAAGCTCAGAGTTTCACCAACACTGCCACACATTGCGCGCGCCACATCTGGGTTGCAGGGGTGGATGCTGCGAACGTTTCAAGTCCTCAGCTGTACACCAAAAAAGGGACAGAGATTCTCTGTGACGATCGGCGCAGCGGGGTGGAGCTCGGAATCATCGATTTGTCATTCCTATCGGACCCGAGCACTTTCGTATCGCTGAGAGTCCGTTCACCTCTTGGTAACTTGCATGACTAGAATGTAACGATGAGAGATGTGCGGAGAGAGACTCTGTCCCTCTCTGCGTTGAATTTAGCGGTTAAAATACTACAGGAAAAAGCGCTTGCACGTCGTACTTACCATCAGAAAAAATCACACCCTCCTTGTACTAAGGCCAGAAATAATTAATGACACACTTTATAGAGTTACTCCAGCATTATTCAGCCCACTGAAAGAAAAGTTCGATGAGTGAAATCCAATGGACAAACTTTGGAAATTGGTTATGCCCAGAACTTCAGAGGCATTGCTCGGATTTGGTGGGAAAGGGGAAATGAGATAGAGCTACAGGAGAGGCTCTCACAACCTCGATTTAAGAATACCTTCAAAAAAGACCACCTTTCCTGGGCTGTTGACACAATTAATCAATCCCTGAATCCTCCCACACTATTGAGACCACCATTTCCTGAAGAGTGGTGCATCTCTCCCAAGGCCCATGGAAAACGCCCAGCAAAAGAGTTGGAGCTGGACAGCAGTTATGGAGATGCCAGCATACAGGAGGCAGTGTAGCATTGCGTGCGCAATTACTCTAGTACAAGGAAAAATCCTTCTCTTTCCTCCTTTCAGTCATTCGTCTTTTCCATCTCGCAACTCCTGTGGTCTCTTCCTGGTCCCACAAAATTCCGAGTGATACAGCCCTCCTGTTCTTATTTTGTCTCCAATAGATAGTACACACGGCCCGAGCCGTTGTCTACATTCAGCTCATTCTGAATGGCGTTGGAAATGTAGATCTGTGTGGCACGCCAACGGCGATAGCGCATGTACCAAGCCATTGCGACGAGAAGGAGGACTGAGCGCGAAAGGTTTGTTGAGCGATGTGAAACAGAGGAGAGGAGGTTATACGTACCGAGGACGACGCCGAGTCCTGCATGTGCTGCGACACTTAGGGTGCAGTGTCCATTGCCGTGCCTTTGAGAGAGAGGTCCAGTTGTGCATATGGATGAACGAGACCACCGGGAGGCGTACCGATCGACCGAGCAGTCTGCCCCGACACTGGGAAGGAGACCAGCAAGCAGAATGGTTACTATGCTGTGGGTCAGCGCTCTGCTGAAGGTCGATGTGCGTCCGACTGCAGTATGGTCACGCGAGTCGAAAAGTGCGTGAGTATAGAAGCGGCCACAAAGCGAGAAAAGCACTTGTCGACATTATTTTAACTCGAAAGAGAGAGATGGAATGACACAACAAATGAAGGGAAAGAAAGGACTTAGTGAGACCAGAGGCGAAGTTTTATAATAAGTAGAGTAGACCTTGGAGTAGGCGGTTCAATGTCCTTAATCATCATGCAGCTGTCGTAAACCTCACATGGACAAGATGTAGTGGTCGAAGGCGCAAGCGCCTCCGGCACTTCCCCACCCAGACAGAACTATTAATGAGAAACCTTGATTGATGTCGACTATGTGACGAATATGTTGTAAGATTGGGAGAACATTCACTAGAATGGCAGAGATAGGCATGAGAACCGCTGAGGTAATCGAAGTCCGTGTTTACGATTTGCCCATTCTTGGGTCTGCCAAGAGAAAGTTGCCAGTACATTCCAGGATCTGAACGGCAAGGCCTAGTGGCGGTGCAACGGACCAGGAAACCAGTCAATAAGGACGGCATGACTCTTTTAGGACACAGTTACGTTGTGGGTAACGTCGAAAGCAGTATGTCATGGTGTATCGCTGTGCCAGAGCGCGCAGGACTCATTAGTTCACATGTTCGCAGACAAAGCGATAAGGTTGGGTAAGATTCAGCACAGCACTATTAAAACAGAGTAGATCCGTATGAAAAGTACAACAGCCAGCACAGGTTCGAGTCCAAGTTGGTGTGTAGTCCACTGTCGTTGAACTGGGGGAGATACCGTGTGGTAATGCATCGTCGTCGAACTTGATACGGTCGTAACCTTGACTGGGGGCGAGCCTGGTGGAGGTGGGTAGTACTGCGATGGCGAGCCAGCGGGCTAACACACAAGCATATCAACGTCAATGGTCAGGAGGAGCGGGGGAGACGAAGTCGGACGAAACGGGTCGAATCCTGCATTCGGGTCGTACGCGCAGTCGAGGACACTACCGGAGCCGCCATGCGCCTGCGGCAGATATTGAGATCCACAAGGCGGCTATCTGCCGTAGCCGTTCTATATGCCCCAACGCTACGCTGGTTCTGCTGGACGTAGGCAAGATTGGCCTGTGCGGGGCGCCGCCGGCGATAGGTGACTAATGAAAAGACTAGCGCGAGAAAGAGAAGGACTGAACGCGCAAGTCCGTTGAGTGACATAAAACATGATGAGAAGGCTGTGCGCACAGAAGTCGAGACCGATTCCTGCACGTGCTGCTGAGCGTAAGCGGTCGCAGTGCTCAAAACCCTCCTTGTGATAAGAAGCATTCCGTTGGTATAGGGGGAGATTAAGATCAGCGGGGGGCGTACGAATCAAGTCGGCAGTCTGCTCTGCTCTGACACCAGAGAGGAGACCTGCGAGAAGAATGGCTGCAATGATGCGGGCCAGTGTATCGCTGAAGGATGTGCGTCCGACTGTAGAGCGGCTACGCGACGTGCGTGAGTACACAGAAGCGACGACATAGCGAGAAGAAAAGAAAAAGCATCTGTCAACATTTTTCTAATAAGATGCCGGACAAGACGAGCAAGACGAAGAGGTGGGGTTGTACGATGAGGGATGAGAGAGAGAGGAATAGCCAAGTCAACGAAGCCACCTTAATCTGTGTAAGTGTTGGCCTCGAATGTCAACGTAGGGAGACGATCATTCGGGCCTGCTTAGCTCAGTGGTAGAGCGCGTCACTTGTATGTTCTTGCGGGGTAATCCACCATGAACCTGCATGACGAGGTCAGTCGTTCAAACCGGCTAGTTGGCATTTTTATTACCCCCCTTTACTTTTTGCTGTCTTTTCTATAAGGATTTCCCGTTGCTGTACAGAGAATTCCATCCAATTCCTGTGTTTTATGAAAATTAAAATGGAGGTGCGGCGAGCCTGTAAAGCTAGTATCAGTGACTAGCACGACGCTTAAAACCCTCCCGATTTCCCCCAACTGGGGATATTAGAGAATGGATCGTGTTTACCACTGTCAAGCGTGTGATCTATGATACATTTGCTTCTATACATACAATATGTACCCGGTCGATCGGGCTACCTACACACACGCACCACGATCGCATCACATCGCCAGCACGACCTCGACATGACACCCCTCCCCCAAGTTCCGCACCAGGATTCAATTTCTTCCCCTCACTGATGCTGGGGCGGGGCCGGCCACGTCCAGAAAGTCCAGACATCCTCGCCCACACCCTCGCCACAGGAGCGGCACCCCACCCGTCGTCTCGCCAACCCTCACGCCCGCGATCTCGGTCACCCACGAATACCGTTCCTCCGCGGGCAGCACGAACGGTGGGCCGAGTCGCGCCCACGCCATTGCCGCCGCCAACCCTGCAGGCGACGTTGCTGCTGGTGCAGGCGCAACACCGCCGTGCCGTAGCGATGGACAACGCCCAAAGCTCTTTTGCTCCTGCGCAGCTCCAGCCACATCAACCGCACCAGACCCGTGCTCCCTCCTTTCCGCCTTGACATGCGCAGAGGAGAACATGCCTGCGCCCGCGCTCGTTGTCGTAGAGCGCGAAAATCCATGTCGTCGCGGGGCGGATACCGCGGCTGGTGCGACGCGCGCGAAGAGCGCCACATCGGCAGGGGAGAGTGCGCCATCTTGGAGCGGGAGCAGGAAGCGGTCCTCGAGGGTCGTCGGTTGGTGTCGCGTGCGTACAGTCGTCGACGTTGTGGTCGTGGTCGGGTGCGGCGCTAGCGGCCGCTGTTGGTTCGTCGGAGATGGCGTGAGGAGATAGCGCAGTATCATTTCGCGCAATGGTGGGACGCGGAAGTGTGCGCGCGTCGCGGCGTCAGCTGTTTTGGGCTCGTCTTGCGCCGCGGGGTTGGCAGGGTCTGGATGCCATGGGTTCGTGTGGACCTTGAGATTGGTGAAAGTCATCGTGGTCATCTCAGCTGGGAGGAAGCGCAAGTTGTTGTTGACTACATCGAGATCCCTGAGTGCGTGTAACTGCGCGATTTCTGGTGGGATGTACTCAAGGTTGTTGTTCCCTGGCCTCGTGGCTATCATTAGTATGTCTAGCGAACTAGAGAGGGGGCGGTGAGCACGTACGGAGAGAGAGTACAGTCAGGTTGCTCAGCCTGAAAAACTCCGAAGGTAGGGTTGTGATTTCGTTATTTGCGAGAAAGATCATAAGACCCTGTGACCGGGACCTGCTGGGGGCGACGGAATGGGCGAAGAGAGATCTATGTGGAGACGAGAAGACTGCTGGTGCGGTCTGCACGCGCTTAAAAGGGCGCTGCGTTGGCTCAGCAACGACGCCGAGGCTGTTGAGTTCCATAATGGATGGAGGTACAGAGGTAAGCCCCGCGTCTCTGAAAACTTTGTGAGTGTGATGATGTTTACGATGAGAGGGCGATCACACGCACTTCCAAGTGAATTCAGCCTCACCCATGTCGACCGCTCGTGTGATCTTCTCTTCCCATAGGGTAGCTTCATCTGGAGGTTCTAGCCCGAACTCTGATTGTGAGAAGCTCTCCTCTTCGTGAAACATATCTTCCAGCACTTTGGAGTGGTCTGCAGAAGACGATACACTGGATCGATATGCCCAGCTGGCGGGTGCATAGGACGAGTTGGAGTATCGGAGTTCATTAGAAGGGTGCTTTGTAGCGTGTGTGGATCCAGCAAATGGATGGCTTATGCCCCGCGGTGTTGTTGGCCGGTTGAGATCAAGGGGCTGGAGGGATGGCGACGAAAGGGGGGAAGAGTCCACAACAGAGGAAGTAGATGGCGATCCCCCCGGTGAAGACGAAGGTGACATGTATGCGCGATCCTCTGGGCTGATAAAGGTCATTTTGTGGCGGAGTCAAGCATACACGACCGGGAGCACAAAAATATATGCAAATTCAACAGATTCCTCCGCATCACGAGACCGCGATCGTGCCAGTCACGTGGAGTTACCGTGGATGGATATTAGTCAGCGTGATTCCGTATTTTCCTGACATCCGCGACTCGAACTGGCAGCGAAATGGTATGACGCCGCTTGGCCATAGAGCAATCGACGTGACCCCGCTCGAGATGGGAGCGACCAAGGGAGCGACATCACAATCTGGGGTAATGACGTCACAAAAATAATGGCCTCGGTGAAGATGCGACGTCACCCCGACGAGCTCCTGGCGCAAACCACGAGAACTCCCTCTAACGCTTCAATGGCCCCCAATCATGGGCAGACAGCCGGGGCCACTGGGATGAGCAATACTACTAAAGCATAAGGAGTTGTTAGAGGCAAGAGCCCTCAGGCGCGCACAGCGCGCAGAAGCCAGCCGTGTCAAAGCCGAAGAACAAGAGACCGTATGTAGAATGACGTTTACTTTATGGTCGCGTCGCCTCACGTACACCATGTTTCAGGGGAATGCGCACTTCTGCAAGGGGAAGTACCGCGAGGCTATCGCGGAATACGAAGTCGCAGTCAGATCCACGGCCCTACTGCCACGTACCTCTCAAACATGGCCGCGGTATGGCTGAAGCTCGAAGCGTGAGTTTCCCCCGTCGTGGTCAGGCGCGCAAGTGAAACCTCCAACTCGCCGCGGCCAGTGCGTTGAGCCATTCCCTCATATTTTGACGCCGAGGCTGACGGTTGGCAAATTCGCACAGACTTCGCGACCGTACTCGAGCAAAATCCAGGCTCGATTGAAACAAAGAAGGCACTCGACGAGGTACTCGTTCTCATGAAGCAACGAGGAAGATGAACCCATCGAGTTGGAAGACTGTCGTCCGCGAATCATCGTCGACTTGAAGGTCGAGCTCGAGTCGGTGTCGGATTCGAGTGATTTTAACCACGAGGGGAACGGTGTTCTTTGCAGGTCCTACAATCACGACGGCTGCAAGCGGGGACTCGAGTGCAAGTTTTCGCACGCGCCGAATTACAAGAGTGTGCGAGATCCCCTGTGTGTTTTTTCTTCCGACATTTCGCTTATGTGGAAAAACGCTAACTTGAACGCTGATCAGCGGACGCAACGTTTGTCTGCATTTCTTACTCGGGGACTGCAGAGTTGGCAGTTGCGTGTATTCCCACGACAGGTCCTATTTGCCCATCATGACGCTGGAAGGCTTCGGCGATGCCACAGATGATTTAGGGCACGCCGCCTACATGAGCAGGGGAATGGTGTCCGGGAGTGGTCATGGTCGCAGCGACGACCACGGGGGAATGCGCCGCGGTGGTCAGCATGGTGAACTGGGACTGGATAACTTTGCAGAGCGCGTGGCGAGAGTGAACAGGGGATACATAGAATACGAAATCCGGTCTGAATAAGTCTGCAAGTGTCAGGGTATATGGGACCATGACAATGACACTTTTGTGAGTGTTCTGATTTGAGCGCCACGCTTTACTCATCGTTTTTTCTAATTCTTGTGTCAAGGATGTCGATTATTACATTGAGGCCAGCTCGCTCTGACTGTAAAAACCGACTTAATGGTTCTTCCCACACCCCAGGCCCACATCGTGGCTACGACCCATGTGTCTCCCATCCAATTCAGATTTATTTCTCATGTCATTTAATGTGGAGCAGTTGCACCCACCTCCGCAAATTTTGTCACACCAGCGGCACTTTCTTCCACAGGTAGAGAATTGCCAGTGGGGGGATCTCGGCAAATGTAGCATCGGAGTCAGTCATTGTCCGAGACGTCCCGAGACGTCTGGACCAAAACGTACCTAGAGATGTCTGAGGAGGGTCACCTGTTGACCCTCTCCAGGGACCTTGGTGAGTTTTCTGTTTACGATTCAACTGCCTTCATTTACTGACTTAGAACTTGACTTGGCGGTCTAGTGAAACATTCAAGGACCTTAGGAAGACAGGTTTCTTAGGAGTACCGGGATCACCGGGAGGCATGCCTTCTAAGCCACATCACCTTTATCGAATCTTCGTGGTCTTGATGTCGCTCCAATCCTGGCGATATTATGTATATACATGCCAGAGAATATATGTATCTTTATGGGAAGAAATGGTACAGGGAAAGTGCCGATCTACTAAAGACCTTCGGAATTTGCAAGGGTGTGAGAACAAGCCCCGTGCTCCCTATGGCACTTGTATAAGTGTTCCTCTCTCTGCGGTCCCCTTCTTCAACACTCAGAAATCTTGCTCAGAAATGGCAGCACCCCGCCCGAATCGAGATGTCGAGGCTCAGACCGTTGCTCAGCCCATTATAAATCATCCACCCTCTTCAAATCCCGCAAATCCCCAGCTACTACCGGCAAATAGCGCTCCTCAAATTACTACAAACACCGATAAATATCACGACGGGAATGCTACTGCTGATGATCCAGAGGTTCAGCGTGGTGTGTTGACTTTCCCGTTTCACAACTTCTGATCTCATTTGGGTACTAGATGAGAATCAAGGAGACTCTTCTGATGGGCTGTGGTCGATGTACCTCACTGAGGCGGAGAAGCAGGACACGGAGGTAATTGAGAGTTGGAAGGGAGATACAAACGGAATCCTCGTATTTGTGAGTCCTGGTCTGATCCGTCTTGTGCATATTCACTGACTGAAGCACGTGTTGAAGACTGGTCTGTTCTCCGCCACCGTCGCTGCCTTCCTTGTTGAAAGCTACAAGAAGTTATCTCCCGATTCAGGCGATACGACAAATGCCCTCCTTGCTCAGATATCCGCACAACTTGTCAGCATCTCTAACGGGACACCCCTCGCGAGTGTCGTACTGCCGAACGCTCAGACATTCAAACCAACAGCATCTGCCGTCAGGGTCAACGTGTTGTGGTTCCTCAGTTTAATCCTCAGCTTGAACTGCGCGCTTTCCGCGACA